CTCATCTGAGAATCTGTAGCTAATCTCTGATGATGACACTTAGCATTAGTTTGATCAGTAGTTTTCTTTCCTCAAGTGTATACAATGGAGATGGAGAATGTTATCACTTGCTTCCACTTACTTTCCATTAGCTCCAAGGGGATTATTTCAAGAATTTGGAGGACTCTATATCTTTTTACTCATTTTCTTTAGTGCTCTCATGTTACCTTATGCAGCAAACTAATTTTCATAGCCATCTAAGTAAATATATGCATATGAACACATACTGTCTGTGAAGGCTGTGATGGGGATATCTTAGTTTTCAGATTTCACCAGCTAAAGGATGGCCATGGTGTTTCTTTCAAAATTGCCAGATCCCTACACACAACTTCCAAGCAAACTGTAGAAACTTGATTGAGAACCAAGACCAACCATGGGCAGAGCAAACTTACTCAATGCTGAGTACTCCTTTGATATGGCATGGACACTAGCTGACATAAAAAAGAGTTTAGTTATGTGTGCAGAGCATAGTCTGCTTGTATCTAATTGGAGACACTAACACTTTCTGTCAATACTTTGATTTTTCTACATTAAGAAATTTTATCTTTTTCTGGAGCCCACAGTGAAAATGACATCTGATTCAGATCTTTATCTTGCTATCCCTTGGGAAGCATAACATTTTAGAGGAATCTTAGTTAATGAACACATTTTAGACACCACATAATTTGACCATTCAACAGGAAATTATTCTCATATATAACTCCTACAAAAAGGAAGAATTCAAACAATGTTACATTATACATTTTTTTGTAAGCTGAAAGCTTTCTTTTTCCTTTCGTATGGAATGTGCTAGCCACAGAAGAGGCATGTTTTTTTTATAGGCTACAGCTCCTTGGAGTTGCATAAAATGAGTTCTCAATTTGCAATTTTATAGAAATTGTTAATAAGCAGTATAGAAACTGTTTCTTAGATCATATCACCAGCGCTTCTTGCTAAATACAGTTATGTATTTTCAAGAACATAAACATTAAACATATTAAATTTAGTTTAGAACTTTCAAAGTGAATATCTGCTTTGGAAATAGCTTGTAGCTTCTGCAAGCAACTTATTTTACTGGAAAACTACTCTCAGAAATATATACTTGAGAAAAGTCAGCTCAGTGGCATAGTAATTCATGTAAAATAGAAAGCATTATAACTGATATATTTTATACACATTTTATACAAGAATAATGAAAAGAATATGACTTACAATACACTCTGCATTTTTCTTCTGTCAGGAACACATGTTGGAGTTGATTCCAAATAAGTTGAAGAAGCAGTTTCTCATGCCTGATCTTCTCCCTTAAATGCTCCCATATGTTTTTTGCTGTTATTAATGTGATGGACAGGCTTGGTATTTGTGGTGGGTGGGAGGAATATATTCGTAAAATAAAAAAGTATCATAGACTGAGCAAGTTCACAGCTGGAATATAAAGGTTTACTGACAGCTATCTGCCTAGAAGTTTGATAAAATGTTGCTAATCAGTTTTGGCTGATAAAATAACAGAATCAACAGAAATCACAAGGTCTGGAAGAGACCTTAGGAGATCCATGCAGGGCTTCAGCTGAGAGGCAGAATCAAGTGTTATAATTAGGGCTTATTGACTCAGTCTTAGAAATCAGTTGGATAATCTCCTTTTTTCTAGTTGTGAGGTCATAAGGCAGGACCAGATTCATCACATTTCTAGGTGGCAGAGAAGGAAGAAGTATTTATATTCTGTGCTAGACTAGAAACTTTAAGAAAAAAGCCCATCAGTAGGAATACTTTCTGTCCAAGAATCAGATGGGTCTGAACTTGGACCTCCTCTCTTTCTTGAGGAAACAAGCCCAATTTCTTCAACATTTCTTCCTAAGTAGTATTTAGTTTATAAACTTGTTTAGCCTTTTGATTCTCAGCATTTTTTCAGTTTGGCTCCATCTCAATTGAAAATTAGGGTGGATTTACTGCTCCCAGTATACTGTTCTTAATCATGTTGTAACTGCTTCTGTCTCAGCATAGTTTAGAAGTGTCCTCATTACTAAAACATCCATGTAATTGACAAAATACTAAATACAGTTTAAAGATGGAACAAATTCCTGTGGGATCCTGCTTGAAATACCATGTTTAGAAGAGGTTTCCAGATACAGTGGTGCAGCCTATCTTGAAGCTTGATGACATCCAAGAAAACCATATCCCCCAGACTTTCCTAAGACCGATTAACGCCACTGCAATATCAAAAGGAGGCTGTGGTTGTATAATGATTTGAAACCTGCTACCTTTAAAATACTTCTGCTGTATGCTGTTTGCTACAAAAACACCTTCTAAATTTATTTTATTATTTTTAAAATTTCACTTCCTTTTCACCCTGTTTCTAGTATGTATTCCCTGTCATTTCATCTGAATAATAATTATTGCCAAATGCTTATTTTTCTTTTGTTTGCTTCCTTTGTAGCTCATGGTGAATATACAACATAAAATCATTGTCTTAAGGACAGTTGTACTTTGTATTATTGCTTGTACTTCTAAAACCATGATTGTTGGTTTGACCCTCTCTTTGAATTTAGCAACAGATTCAGCCGTTATTCTAGACAGATTGCACCTATTTCTGTAACTATTTATTTGTAACCAGAATATTACACCTAGGTTTTTTGTTTGTTTGTTTGTTTTTAATCTTTTTGGAAATTCATGTTTTTAACTAGCTCAATAAAAAAACAAAAACAAAAACAAAAACAACCTGCTACAAAAGTGACATTGTTCACTAGAAATTCCCTTTGATTTTTTCTGAAGGCTGCTAATGATGCCATAGTGTTTGGTTGTGAAACTCTTCCCAAGTATGCAGTGTTCTCAGCTGTTCAACTGAGACACTTCTTATAATTGCATTTGTTTGAACACATTGGCAGATTCATGTCTACTCCTCTAGCATCATACTTTGGCCTGTACTGTTTGCCTTTACATTTCATAGCATTTCATTGTAGAACATGTCCTACTTGGAAATTTCTCTGTGTGCTGACTATTCTGATAAAATACAGGAAATTAAGTACAAACATATTTCCATCAGGCAACATTTGAATACATTAAAATCTAGTGAGTAACTTTCAAAACAGAAATAAAATATTATTTTAGTGTCGTCTTATTATTTAAATAATATTCCTAGGCAGCATAGATTTGAAAAGCTGCAGCTGATGCTTACTTTAATTTTTTTTTTTTTAATGAATTTTGTTAGTATACAGAATTCTTAAACACTATTGATTTATTTGAGGTTTGTACCTTGATATGTATAGAAGATCTTTCACCATGCGCATGACATTTAATAGCACATAGATGGAAAAAAATGTTAATATTTAAACTCTCAGTGAGCATACTAATGCATTATTGCATGGTCTTTTACAGTGGAAGATCTCAACAAAAGGTTGATCCTGTATGCACTGGAGACCTGCCATGAAGTTAGTATAATAGTCAGTGTTTTTATTTTATGCTGTATCTGCTTCCCAGGTGCAGGCACTTGCACACACTTGGATTTTACACCTTCTATGTGTGATAGTCTTTGGAACAGCTTTTGGTATTTTCTTACACCCAGGCAACAAACAGCAGTTACAGTGATTTCTGCAGTGAATTAGTATTGAGGTCACTGAGCTGTTAGAAGCAGAAAACTGAAAAATTTCATGGACAACAGACTCTGGAGTCGTAAATGTCAATTACACTGTAGTAAGAAGAAATTTAAGTTACATCATGGAAAATAGAATTGCTTCTGTTGTGAATGGGATCTTCCATTCAGCATACAACTTCAGAGAGGAAGGATTGCATTCCTTCCATGCTGGGGATCTTTGTTGGAAGCATTAATGCAATACTGAAGCTCTAAAATGTAGCACTGTAAGAGTATCACCATAGAGCACTATATACATTGTGTATAGTATATATATTGTATATACTGTATAGCATTGTGCTACAATGTAATATTATGATATAGTATTTCTGTGCTAACAACATGCAGATTTCATTAAAAAATAAATGTACCGTATGTGCTTCACTGAATTCATTCAAGTCATGACTTTATTTCTCCTTTGTACCTGGAACAATTGAGACAGAACTAGGCAGAAAAAAATAACTGGATTTGGGAATGGAACACTACAGAACCTTTCTGCAGGACAGCAGAATGTCTGAAGGAAACTGAAGTCAATTGTATGAAAGAGGGAAGATCTTGAAACAGAAACTGTGATACAGAGTTATTTGGGCAAGATGTTTATTGCTTGCTGTAACGGAGTGTTTGAAAGGAAGGAAACAGAAAATTGTGGTTTTGTGGAGATGAGTTTTCTGGGAAGCATGAAAAAGAAAAAGAAAAAGAAATTGAGAGGAGTTGTGTGTCAGCTGGCCAGCACCTAGATGCTGTTTGGACTGAAGCTGGGCAGAACTCCTCCCTACTTCCAGTCAACAGAGTCCTGAGAATTAAATAGGAAAAATGATCTTTTGAGATTAAGTAAAGACAGAAAAAGAAGACTTCAAAAGGTGAAGGGATTTTCACAAGATGGATAGACAAAGTGAAGGGAATGGACAAAGGCAAGGTGTGAACAAATGGTATTCTGCAAATGATTAATAAAATGCGACTGGAGGTGATGGGAAGACAAGCTGTTACAAGTTAAGAATTTTTCTCAAGTTTCCTAGATTCATAAATAGAGTGTCACATCTTGTGTCCTTAACCTCTTTACACAGATAGAAGTTGTAAGTGTGGAGATTATTGGGCAGTCAAGAGACTTTGGGCAGAGAGAGGATATGATAAAATTTCAATAAATTGGGATATATATATATGTTTAATTAAGATATATATGTATATGTAAAAGTATATATTATAAGAATGATTTTAGATGATGTCAGTGTATTTAAAATATTACTGTTTCACCAGTCTTAATGAAAAGATGAGCTAATATTCAGGTGGATTCAGACTAGTATCTCAATTATGATTATTAGCTAGTATTTCTTTTGTTTTTTATTCCCTCTGCATATAGGATTGCACTGCTGAGCTTTACAAGACATTAAACTGCATACCAGCGGGAATAGACGCTTTCTGTTTTCCTTAAGTGGTGAGTGGCTTAATTCTCTATGATCTAAAACATACAAAGAGAGGAGAAATGTATATATGTTTTGCCCACTAGTGCAATTTTTTATATAGTAATTTTACGTTTTTGAAAGTACCTCAAAAACAGCCCTACCTCAGAAATCTGTGCCTATTTTCAAAGTAGATTGGATGCATGATGTGAATGGGATTTTGATAATGTTACCTACATTCCTGATAAATTGATGTTTGACTATTTCGATTCAGTGAAAAGTCAGTGGGAGTTGCTTATGCATAACCTTCATGAGCTCATTCCTTTGTTATTAAAAAGAAATGAAATGAGAACTTAAACATTAATTTTTTTTCCCCTACAATAAATGTCAGGTTGATTAAAACTTCAACACTGACCTTCAGAGCAGTGAGGTTTGACAATAACGTGATTATCTTCTGAGGTCAGAAGTTACAAATCAGATGAAACTAACGCATTTAATCCTCAACAGTTTGTGCATTCTGCACAACAACGCATACCTCATTTGCCATGTCTTTTCCACTGTACTGTGCATCATCTATTATTTCCGTCCGTGATTCTGTACCTCTCCATTATTGGCAGACTACAGTAAACAATTGAATTCTCTGGCAATTCTCACCTTTTATTAGCTATGCTTCAGTTCATTACCAAAACACTTAATGTGCTTATAGGTGTGTCTGGCATAAATGAAAGAACAGCTGTTGGGACATATTTCAGCCTGTTCCATACCTGTTCCAGCAACATGAAATGGAATGGCCCATCATTTATCAGTGATGACAGATCATTTGATGTTTTTGTAAAATGGTCACTCTTAACTGTAGCTTATCTCTATTCTTATCTGTTGACAGGGATGCCTGACCTTAGTTTAGTTCGATTTAGAGGCATAGGAGTAATTTTATCATGTACAGTGAGCACTGAATGCAAGTACTGGTGCTCCTTATCACAGCAGTGAGTTGATACCATCAGTGTTACTTAAACTGTGAGCTTTTGTATTTCTTTCAACAATTTGCAAGGGGCTTACATCAGTTTCCAGAGGCACGTTTTTGTTTCTATTTTTAAAGAAAGCTCAATAACATGTTAGAGATAACGACCAAATAGTTTCTGAGATTTTGTATAGCAAGAAAAAAATTAAAAAATCACTTTTTTTCCGCAGAGCAAATCTTGCAATGCAGGCTCAAGCAATGCTTAAATTGAAATTCTGGGAAACTGAAGTGCTGAAAACTGTTTTGCATAGAAAAGGAGTCAGTGGAGATTCCATTCTGGATTGACCAAGCTCAGGAAGCTCAAGACGTTGCAAATAATGTTTTCTATTTTCACCACAGATGTATTATGATCAGCTCTTTCCTCTCATTGCTTCTTTCACGGTGTGCAAAAGCCTGAGACAGCATTCTGCAAGAGCAGAACTGAGGAAGAGCTAGGCCAGAAGGGATGCAGTATTTTCTAAGGGAGTTTCTCTCAGATTAATCACTTTCAGGTTCCCTATCTGTTTTCCAGAAAGTGCACATAGGTTCTTGTCAAGAGCCTTTTTCAAATGAAAGTAGGACGAAGTGCACCATTCCTGTTCAGGTAACAACAAACTTCTCCAGTTAACACCTGCTATTAACTCCAAGTCTAGAATCTTCTTAATATCTGTGCAACTGTGCATAAATTAATTTGAGAGTACTCATCCTGAAATAGTAGACAGTTCAAATGTAATATTAAAAAGAGCAAAGTGGAAAGGTACCATTTGATATAAAATTTCTCAGCGTTATTAGGTAGTTTCATAGCAGTAGAAGAATTTAAAGGTGAAGAGCGTATTTCGTGGATGTTCAGAACATTATAGCAGGACAAAACTTGGCAGGAATAAGCCTCCCTAATTCAGAAAATTGCCAGATTTTTTAAGACCCATTCATAAAATATACACCTAATAAAATGATTTGTTTTGCAGGACTGTCTTTGTTTGAAAACTTGGAAAGCAAAATCAAGTCAACTACATGAATTGAGTTTACCCTCTAAAGCACTGTTAGATTCTTCTGCATCCTTAAATGAACATGTAGACAACAGTTTTTTAGATTCTCTCTTAAGCTCCCAAAGGGGATTAAAAATGTATTAGAAAAAAATTTGCGTTAGTAATTATTTATCAAATGACCTGTGGGAATATTGCTATTGAGGCTTAAATTTTGTGAAGGGATCTTAGGAAGTTTTTGCCTAATTCCCCAGTGGATAGTATCTATGTGATTGTTTGCACACTTGGAGTGTTCTGATATACGTTCTAAATATATATATTTGTATATTCTACATGCTCTCTCAGAAAACATACTGCAGGCAATTATTAATCTGATTGTTTTGTTTAGAGATCTAAATTGCAAATCCACCCATGGACAAACCCCCTTCTTCTTATAAACTGAATAAACAAAGATAGAAGCCTTATCAGAAAGGATGCCTTTAACAAACTGTTTTATCAAAATAACCCCAAAACTACCCAGTTAAACATCAGGTAGCAGAAATTAAATGAATTGAAATTTATGTGCTTTGCTTAACATTACAGGGTCTTCTGCGCGGAGTCAGTGATTGCCTTTCTTTGAAGTTGCCAGCTGAATTCTGAAGACATTGCAAGAGAGCAGTGTGTTTTGCTGGGCCAAGAGCACAAAGATACACATCATTGTTAATGAATGCTTTTCAGCACACTTTGAGATTAAGAGTTGGAGCAAACAGGGAGGGTAAATGGATTGATGGTAAATACAGATTTCACTTGTTGAATAACGTTTCAGATAAGGATATCCACATATACTTTTCCCTCCTTTTGAAACATGATGGGAATGTTGTACAACATGGAAAGTGTGTTCCCTGGACTAATTTTGAATGTGTATTTCAATACATTCCCTATTCTATGATGTAACACAAACTACACTAAGGAATAAGATATAGTTGGTTACAGCAGGTGAAATACCCTGTGTTTTAAGTCAGTGAGAAAGATAGGAACATAGGAAGATTTTCTGAATAGCGAAATCATTTTATGTTGGAAGGCTTTTAACCTAGTTCAGCTGTGATCATACTAAAGCTTTATTCTAAAAAAGTAGTACAGTGATGTTGAAAATCTATATGCTATGAAACTACTAGTCTTTAAAATAGAATGATTGATTTGAAGGGAGAGTACTGAACTCAGATTGATATTTTTCTTATCAGTGAAGATACTCTTTCAGGTAAAGGGTAAAGGTGGCTGTGGCTGCATGTATGTGTTAAACGGCTCTTCACACTTCTTTAGGAACATTTGTTGCATACCACTTCAAAGATATTTAACTCTGCTACATTTGTTTCTCGGAGAGCTAACAAATGCAATTTGAAATACTTTATGTCAGTAGCAAAGGTTCTATCAACATTGCAGATACGTAATTATAGTCCAAAATAAATCCCAAGAAGAGAATGTTGGTAAATCAACTCTGATTTAATGAGATTATTTATTATATTTATTTCTGAAGCTTAACAGTGGTGTTCAAAAAAAAAATTCAAGGCAAAACAATACATAATAATCTGCAATTGCAGACAGTTTGCAGGTGCAAATATCTGCAGTCACATGACTTGTTGGAACTGTTTCTAGAATGAGTTGTAATGGTATAGTCTAACTAAACTCTGATGATGAAAGTACAGTTAGAGATTAATCAAGAGAAATATAAAGCATTTCAATGCCATGCTATAACAGACCATGAAAGGGAGTACATAACAACTATGTTGATGTGTTACACATTAGGAATAGAAAGACTGAAAGCAGGAGCTAAATGTAGGTAAACCCTACAATTCTTATTGGCTATGACAATATATTTACTAAGAGAAGACTTCATATCTTTAAATGTAGAACAATCAAGTCACTCTGTGTATATATAAAATCAACCAGTAAATGTCCTACTGAACCAGAATAGATAGAGTTAACATAAACAGAATGGTGTTTACATAAACAGAATGTTTTTTGGTTGGTTGGTGTCTCGCTCCAATTTATAGGAGGGAGAGGAGGTTCTTTTATTATCTATATACCCGGCGTGAGATTAAGAAGCAACGGTTCAAATGTTGGTCCAACCAGTTTATTACAAATCTTAATCAGGGGAAATGGGGAAGGGGAGAACGGACACTATTATGAATTAGGGTAATGGGGGAAGGGAAGAAGGGCGATAGAAAAGATAGAAAAGAAGAAGCAAGGAGTCTTTATAGGAAGCAAGAGGGACATAGTCACCACCATGGGTCTAGCGTGGTTCGTAGTTCTGTCTTTGATCCTCAGCAGTGGTGGGTCGTCGGGCATTGTTGTTCTATTGACGACGAAGGACGACCACGACCATGGTGATGATGGCCCTTTTTCAATGCTTCAAAGTGGTTGAGTCAGCTATCTTTGGAGTGACAGCTCAAATCCAAAGTGGTCGAGTCAGCTCTCCTTTGAGTGGCAGCTCAAACCCAAGGTGGTTGAGTTAGTTCTCCTTGCGGTGGCAGCTTCTGGCTCTGGGATCTCAGCAGGAATCTCCCTTGTTCTTATCTTTCTGGCCTTGCCAGCAGATAAGAGGAAGCAGGGAGGCACCAACTTGCATCTTGCCTTCGCAAGATACAGCAGTATCATCCCCCAACCTTCCATACTTAGCTGGAGCGGTTTGGCCACAGGCCAAATCTTCCACCAGTGAACACTGCTGAGCACTCTCTTCCGCTCTTCTACAGAGCAAGGAGCTCTGGGGGAAGGGGCTTGCAAAATGTTCCCAAAGCGATATCGATTGTCACACAGTTAGCACCCATCAGTTGCCTCCTTGACAAGTCACTCAGAGTCTTATCACAAGAAAAACCTCAGGAAGCAAGCTTTGAGCCAAAAAAAAAAAAAAACAAACAAAAAAACAACCAAAGAAGGATTCTCACACTTGGAAAGATGTCTGAATATTTCTTCTTTATTTGGCTGGATGGTCAATTTATTAAGGGTGAATTTGGGGATGTCTACACAGAGAAATTTACAAATTCATTTTCTTTCCCATATCAAGACATGAAACATATGGTCTGTCTGTAACTTAACCACAGATAGTTGATGTGATTCTTTTATATTAATGTTGTTTACTAAAAGAGCTTTGTTACCACTGTAACTGAGATAGGAATCTAGGCCACAGTGCACATTCATGCAGAAGACATTTGCAGCTGTAGTGTAGTTGGCAGTTCATCTATTTGTTTTGAGATCTGTGGAGAAAAAAAAACAACTGTGCAGATGAAAAGCAAGATATAGGATTGAACTTTTTTTTTTTTTTTTTCCTGTAACTGACACTTCGTATCAAGAGGGCTTAATGTGACAGCTGACTGCCAGTTTATCCTAGGAAATTTTATGTGGAAGGAAACAGTAGAGGAACATGCTGGAATAATACCACACATTCTAAAAAAAATTTTACACTTCATGTTTTATTTGAAATTAACAAAATTTAATCAAGCAAGTCATAGTTGCTGAACTTAGATAGAATTCTTATATTCCCTAGATTGTAGGTGAAATTTTTGCACTGAAATAATGATCCCAATCATTCAATCATTCACTTTATAACTCTTCTGTTTTGGTTTATTGTTTAAACATTTGCTGGGTAAAATAGTGCTACATCTGACACTGAAGAGTGTCAGGTCCTTTTTTATTTCCATTTTATGGAAAAAATTAATGGGCATATAAGGTTCAGTTACAATGTATGAGATTAGTTCCAGAAGAATTTATACTTAGAACAAATCCCAAGAGAGAGATTAAATGGATGTGATTAGTATCAACATTTCTGTGATGCGTATGAGGGTCTTATGAGTCATCAGACAGGAATTTCTGTCACTTCTTTAAAAAAAAAAAGCATGAGACGTGTAGCCATACAATAGAAATCTTGGTATAATATTCTTGCCTAGATATTGTGGTAACATATAGTTGGATATAAAGTAAAATGTGTCTCAGATTAGTATGCCTTCAGCCACCAAATCCTACAGGAAAATGTTTCTGTCCTGAATAACTGAACTTATAGGGCTGCTGTCTCCAATGAAGCAGTGCCAATTAAATCATAAAAGTTTGCATCTTCAAGCATTTGATCAACTCACAAATTGTTGTTAAACATGCAGTCACAGAAGAAATAAAATGTACATACACATGTGCATGCACAAGTCCACAGGTACAAGGCACATTCTTTCTGCATCACTTTTATCTAGGGTTTTTTTTTTTTTTTTTTTTTTTTTTTTTTTTGTGAGCTCTCACTTAATTAGACTTACGAAAAATGTAAATGAATCCCACATTAATGTAAAAGGTTATTTTTTTCCTTCTTGAGTTAAATTTTCTGAAGCAGAAATAATCCAGAAGCTGGCCTTAAATCAGGAATGAAAATGGAAACAACTCACTGTGGAAACCAGAATATTGATCTTATTTGCCTTTTTCCCAAAGTCTTGAAATAGAGATTTATAGATTCACAGATGTTAGGTTGCAAGTAACTTACAGACATTATAGAGCGTGACCTTTTACATCACAGAAATGATTTCTGTAAATAAATTTCTGATTTATACCCTATGACTATGATTGAACTAGAATATATAGTTCATAAAATGATCCGGTCTTCATAAATATTTGCCAGTGTTAGCAAGTGTGCCACAATCCAGCTGCACAGAAATTGCTGGAGGTAAAGGGATCATATCTGCCATGTGCTTCTGGTGAAAGCTTAAGTTTACCATTACTGGTATGTGTTATCCCCTATCCATCTGAATACAAGTAAATCCCATTATGAATTATCTTAATATACTAAATATGATTGGTAAAAAATTAAGATCACATCTAAAGAAATTGTTGCACCTTCCTTAACTTTCTTATGTTAGAGAGAAGAAAAGACAGCAATTCTCCCAGCTGCCACTCTAAACGTGGAGTTCAGTGCTGTTACAAAAACCCAGTGAAAGTCAGAGATCCAATATTTATTACATGTGGAGTTTTGGGTTGCTTTCCCAGCTTATCAGTGTTTCTTCTGACTCACTACCTGTTCTGAGGTTCATGTTACTTATGATCATTTAGGACTCAGATTTTACAGAAACTTAGTAAAAGCAGTTAATATCACCAGCAGAATGAGGTGAAATACAGCAGCGATACCATGTCCTTACAGACACTGTACCCAAATAACTTTTCTCCAACAGTGTCACTGTTTTGCTAAATTCAGCAGAATTTCCTTTGAGATGTTTAGCTAAGGCAGGGGCATCTCTGCTGACTTATGTCTTTTAATGATCCTTTGGAGAATAGAGACATTTCTTTTTAGTGAATTCTAGCTATTTAACAGCACCAGCATTTGTAGAGGGTCTGAAACCTGTGTTAATACTACAGAAAAATCTGAAAAATAGCTCTGGAAGAAGAAAAATGAAAACATGCTTTAGAGGAAATACCGAGTCATGGCTCGAAGCACTGATTGAGCACCTGGTAGGAAGGCAGGGCCAATCCAAGGGAGCTCAGGTGCATGCAATGCCCCTGAGTGAACAGAAGGAGCGGAGCCAGGCTTCACCTCTTTCCAGACCTCATTTAAGGGTTGGCGGTGGAGATGAGGGTGTCTTGCTGGAGATTGCTGCTTACCTGAGGCCTTCCAAATGTGAGTGCATTTTCTTTGGTTTGTTTGCTTTTCCTCCTGTCCAAGGCTGCTGTGTTTGGGCATAA